ACTGATGCGTAATAACTGGGATCATGGCGTGACGTACCTGGAGGTATTGGAGTTGCTGTGCATTTGCATGTTGTTGCTGCACTGCCTGGTGGTGGTGATGCTGTTGTAGCTGCTGCAGACGCAAATCACCAGGTTGTAGCTGCTGCAGGACTCTGTGTTGTTGACTGCTGGCCTGTGGCTGAGGCTGTTGCTGAGGCTGAGACTGTATGGATGGTTGCCCAGAGCCAGGAGTGGGAGCTGAGAGGTACAGATGAACAGTGTTTGTTCTTTAGACTCCAGAAAAGGAAATAACAAGTAAATCTAAATCCAGGATATCGAGGGGTTTATGTATTCAGATATCACATGGTGACGAGAGCTGAGCTGGTAGCTGATTTACCAGTCAATCAACATTCTGCCTACATCCACAGATGAGGATGTAGGCAATGAGCAAAACATTGCAGCATTATCCTCATTTGGAAGATATTTAGTTCTGGAATTTATGCATAAATAATCATAAATAATTTTCAGTAATTTTAAGAAATGTGTTTTGGTTTGTTTGAAAATAATGTGTGTATATAGTCTGTACTGTATTTAGTCAAAATAAAGACTCCTTTAAGACATTTTCTTAGATATAAAAATCCATCCTACTGATGTTTAACAAACCTTTCTGGCCGTTGCTGACGGGTGCTGAAGGCACGGTCATCTTGACAGGGGTGACAGTGTTAGTGAGAGGCAGGACATTACTGTTTGCAGCCTTTGGCCGCTGTCTGGGAGCTATTGATGTTTCCGTTGGTCCCACAGAGTCTGTGATCCTGTAAAGGAGGAAGCAAAAGGGTCCCTCAGCATGTGCAGGAAGAACTTTACTTTGTGCGTTTGTAACAGCTGACAGGCTGTGATCTCAAGAGGTAAAAAAACAACCAAAACAATAAAATAAAAAAGGAATACATAAGATTAAAGTAATCCATCATTTCCATTTTCAGTTTATACATAATAAAACTGTCGGTGAGCAGCACCTGGCTTTCGTCAAGCTCTTCTTAGCAGCGACCTCGCTGGCTGTCAGAGGCTCAGGGAGTGACGTCGGGATGGGAGAGTTCTAGATAAACAGCAGGGAGGTTTCATTTTAATAAGCCAGTGAGGAAAGGCTAAAGACATGCTGACTGTTTATGCCTGTGACTTACGAAGAGATTTGGCACTGGACAGTCTTTTCCAGCTAATTTGAAGGCAAAATAGGACACTTGGTAAATGTCAGGTCTCTTCTCCTGGTCTGGTTCGAGCATATATCCTGAAGAAGATTAAATAATAAAAAAAAGAGGTCACTTTATACATTACAAGAGCAAGATTTTTACAGTTAATTAAAAGGAAGTTTCAGTTACTTGAAATAAAAGTAAAAACTAGACAGTTGAAAAAAGAAACTATTTGAAACGACTTTCATGCATTTGTTCACTGACCTTTTGCTTGTTGGGCACTTGTGTAAACCACTACACTATTGAGCTGTTGTAATATCTTGTCTAAATTCCTAATTCTTGACCCTGACATTATAATAATTAAGAGGAAACTTTTCTTTTAAAACTAAACATTTTCAATCCAGAACAATGAAACAGTAACCAGCAAACCCACTCTGCAAAGTAAGTAAAGCTAAACTAAAAATATATTTATATTTAAAAAAATACATTTAAAAAAAGTTTAACTATATCAACTCTGGTGCAGAACAACATGTATTTGGCATGTATTGTCTTCCCTTGACCACTTGGTGGAGCTGTTTGTCAAGTGTTTTAAAAAGGAAGCTCCGCCACAGGATACATTTGGGGAAGTGAAATAACTTGAGCACAAACAAAGCTGTCGTGACTGACGGTCCTCGACTGGTTCAAACAGGCTTGAGTTGGGTAAATGCATAAAAAAAAGACTGAAAGAGATCACTCTGTGGGTGACAACAGTGGAAAAGAAACCACACTAAAAAGGTGGAAACTGTAACATGGCTTTGTATTTTTTTATATTTATCTGTGAGATTACATCAAAGTAACATTTGTTACGGTCAAGCCTAAAGTCACGCTCCATAATGCACGAGACGATTTCCAATTTAAACAACATTTTTTCACATCTTTGATAATCTGCAAATGTGGGAGACAAATTACAGACAGAATATTTTGCTAGTTCACAAAATGATGTTAAATAACTACTGAATCAAAAAAGACACCACAGGAAAAAACAAAACAAATGAAAGTTATTCTGGATAGTTATTAATAACTACAAAGCTGTATTCAGCTGCTCCGTGTGACACGCTAAACTCCAACTTACTGATTAAACAGTGCAACTTGAAGGAGAATTTGGAGTTATCTGGAACGATAAAGGTTCCATCACATATGGCGACTTGACTCTCCCCAAATGGAAGTGCGAAGAAACACAGCTTGTACAACAAGCATCCAAGTGCCTGTGGAGAAAACAAACAATCTGGTCAAACACCTGCATCCAGTTACTTTGAGGGTGGGCACTGCTAGAGACTCAGTTCCAGTGCCAACATCATACCCAAGTTTAGTTAGTGTGTATTCTATCGCAAAACCCAAAACACCCAGCGTGAGGAGTGTACCCATGTCTTCAATTCAAACACCACCTAATTTTCTCCCAAAATAAAGCCGCTAATACTACTAATAATAATAACACTATCTCATTAAACATCGGATGCCATGGAAGTTTTCGATGCAGACACATTTTGTTTATAACTGAAGAAATACTAGGTTTGTTCAACTAAGCCTGAACAGCCCAAAGGATTTAAAGCAAAACTCCGTAAGTACCCAAAATACCCATCAGAACCTGGGTGCTTTCCTCCTTGCCCTGAGACAATGACGATACAAACAACAGTGATAAACTTTAAATGCATGTTTCCTGAATTACTGAACCACTGAAATTATCTTTAAGATGTTGGTAAAATTAACCGATAGGCTTAAATAGAAAACAAATCAAGATTACCATTAAAGGATACAAGAAGTCTTTGTAAGAGGTCTAAGATGATGTGTGCAGGAGAATTATCAATGGTGCTCATTGGTATTCCTCACATTAAAATAAAAGAAAAATGGAATTCTACAATCACTGAATAGATCAGGAAACCATGCCCTGGCCCTTGAAATGATGCTTCCTTTCTCTTCCTACAGAGGTGCGCAGGTCCTTATTAGAAAATAATATTTTTATTCATGTCACACGCTAAAAAAACTGTGTTTACAAAATCAGGCCCAGAGTCTGCTCTGCAGGCAGTATGGCTGTCCAAACAAACCGGCATGCAAAAGTGCTCTGAACTAAAACATATATTCAGCTTAAGCTATATTTGGCTCCAGTATCCAGCATATCTGCTGACCATGCAGTTTGGGATGAAAGAGACTTTGGAATTAGCCGCACCATTAGGGAACGGTTTCCCTTTAAGCGCTCCATCTGATGATAGTCTGCACCACTCTCCTTAACAAGCTAATCCAGGCTGATGCTCTTAATCTAAGTGAGACAGCGTGACCACCAAACAACCCCACAAAGTAGGAATAAACGCTTAAGAAATGTGTGTGAGGCACAGCTCACCGTCAGGCACATGGCTCAAAAACAGGAAGTGACAGCACATGGGGTAGTTGACAGGAAGCTGGGGGTTTTTTGGACTCCTACAGTAGGCATTTTCCTTCAACCTCCTTCAATCTTTTAACATGCAGTCTCATTGTTACCTTTTAGTTTTTTTAGATACAGATTTAAATAATTTGATCAGTTGAACAGCTCTAACAGACTGAAGCCACTTTCATCAGGCTGTGCTGAGCCGTGCTGTCATACTACTGACTGACTATGTATTCAGAGAGGAAGCATTAAAGAAGTATTTTATAGACATGCAAAGTAAAAGGATCAACCTTAATCTCATCATCTGGAGCAGCTTGATAATGGCAAAAATCATCATCACTTTATTACTGATGTACAATATTGATGCATGAATCTGACATTTGGATCAGATATCAGTCCGAGCCCAACTCTGATCAGGTATCTGGGCTCATCGACAGGCCCATCTGTTTGATTCAGTTTAATGACACTTTGTGTTTATGCGTTGGCAACAACTAGCCAGAGATCTAACGTAGCATGGAGTAGGCAAATGGCATGGGGTCAAGAGTGTGGGGCCGTTAATTCTTTGTGAAAGTTTCTGATTTGACTACATTTGACACCACAGCTTCTTCCAATCTACTAATAATTTTAGGTCTTTTTTAAATGTTTCAAACAAAATAAGATGCTTACTACACATTCTAAGAAATAAAACACTAGTTGTCCCATTATCAGCCACATCCTTGGCTGTTTTACGCCATTAACGTACACAA